GTGGTTTGAGTTAATTACACAATATTACTTATACAGTATTATACAATGATACTGTTCCAACTTACATACAAATTTGACTTAAGGACGGAACTTGTTCTTAAATTGGGGACTACCTGTACAGTATATGTAAGCTGACCACACAGGTAAAAAATATTTTTTAGACTTTTGGCCTAAAAGTTTAATAAAGGTAAATCCATTACTGTGTTATCGCTATTTTGGGAAAAACATCAGAATACTTCAGCTGGGCTAATGCTGACTTTACTATATGAATCTTCACATTTGAACCAAAATATCAAAATCAATTACCCTCTCCCTTGAAATATATAAATATAAAGAAGATAGAAATGGGAAAATGGAGTGAAAAACATTGTGCATTCTCTAAGTATTACTGTCTTAAATAATCATCTCAGCAATAGTCATATTAAAATATGAACGTCAAGAGTATATAAAAACAAACTAAAAGAAATCCATAATTAAGCAATTTAAAACCCCTGTTTCTGCATAGCAAAATGTTAACATTCCCCTATTACCAGCCTCTTGTTTTCAGGGTTGCTTAGCTTCAGAGGCTCAGTGTCTATCTAGTGGAATCTAGTGGAACTGCGAGGGTGGGGGATCTGATAGGAGACACTAGCTACCAAATTGAGGACAGATTGTAATGGTTCAAGGGATAGAGGTAAAGCATAAATCAGAATACCTCTTGGATCTGGCACCTGATTTCAAGACTACTTCTGGAAATTCTACAACTTCGAGTATGGAATCTCGAAATAGTGCCAAAACCTAGGACTTGGCAATGCTCCTTGATCTAAACATAAGGAAAAGCTCCATTCAAATTCTTCCATCCTTGAGGTTTGGGCATATATCTCTCTCACATGACTTACCTAAAACAGACAGTTCTACAAAACTGTAAGCATCACTAATCTGTTTAAACTGCTATGGCTCTTCTCTACATATAATCCTGGAAAATGAAGGAGTTAAATATATCAAGCTACCATTTGATGTCATGTGAAATTTTTAATGCAGAATCAACAAAATTGGGTAAAATAATAACAAATCACAAAGTCTGAGTTCAAAAATTCCAACATCTGTAGGGTTTTTAACCTTGGATGTTACCTTGCTATATACCTGTGCTTACGACTGCAAGAACAGGAAGACTTCCATGATGTGTGCTGTAAACATGTTACCTGCTAATGTGATGGCAATGGAGACAGAGTCAGATCCCAGCACATTCGTTGCATTGCAAGTATAGAAACCTACATCAGCTTCAACTGGCTCTAAAATTTGCAAGGAATCATCTGGTTGAAGAAGAATCCTGTAATGACAGGCAAATATATTAAGTCTTAAGATTGGATGCCAAGAAAACTATTACTCAGTGCTTCTGGGTAAGCCCTCAGAGGAAAAAATAACAGCCAAGGGTTAAACTTATTTGAATAAATATATTCAGAATGACATTTAAATTACAAGGCTTGCAGATTCTGTTTAATTAAATAACAATATTCATCAATACTATACCAAATTAGGCAAATTATCTCCAGTCTGCTGCTATTTAAAATATGCACACTTTACCATTTTATCTCATACCTACCTTGATACTACAAGCTGCTACATGGATCAGCTTCCACCGAGAGGTCAGCTCGCATCACTACCAACTTGAAAAATGTGAAGATTAAAGTACAATGTAGACTTCTTATTCCTCCCACTGTTTGTCAGACTGGTCAATATGCTAAGCCTTATGTCTCTACTATCTCTTGGTCAGAAAATAGTCATGTAATTGATGTTGGGCCCCCCAGAATTCTGGATTTTCCTTGGAAAGTTGTCTATATTAGTACCCCAAGACTGATCCAATTGGACAATCTGAAACAATAAGAAATACCACATGCAAATGGGCTATAGGAAATCCTCTTTCGAATGTCCTCATCATGTAAGTGCCAAAGATTAGAAGTTTCCAAAATTATTAAAGGACAAATTCCATTGATTTTAGCATGATGCTCTTGACTCTGAATTGTGTATATTTGGAGAAGTCTGTTGATTGCACAGACAATTGCTGCTAGTGACAATGTATCTTAAATTATAATCCCAAGGCTTGACAACTCTTATCCTGATCAACAAATTCCAATTTACCTTGGGCTAAAATTGGAGTTAAAGTTCAGAAACTGGGTTTTGCAACAGAGGCACTGCTGACACTGGAACAAGAACAGGATATGGCAGCTCTTAGACAAAAGATCCTTAAAACTCAGTTGTATGAGCTGGAATACAATTGGGACACAGTAAGATCTGTTTCAAACTGGCTTTGTATTTTAACCATTTTACAGTTAATGAATTTCTTAGGCCATTTCAAGGCTCTGCTTTGACATCCTGCCATCAGCTGTATGGGAAGGCAAGTTTCAGAAAAAAACCATGTGCCAGAAGGACTTGCCCCTGCCAGTCAGGGAACACTGAATTACTACCTAATATGTTACTCTGTTGTAACCCTGCAGAGATACAAATAGTGAGCTTCTAACACCCCTTTTTAGGCCAGTCCCTGGATGACCGGGTTAAGTTTTTGTAAAACATCTTCTAGCAGATGAAGACCTTAAAACAACTCAAGGATTGATTGATTGATTGATTGATATTAAATTTATATGCCATCCATCTCCCCCAGAGGGTAACTCTAAGTATTACTAAGTTTGTATTTGTAGAATGTGTGCTTGAACAGAGTCATCCCCAAACATTATTATGACATATACACTCAAGTCCCCTTTTTCATCCATGATTGCTAAAATTCTGAGGTGGGAAACAGAAGAAAACTTGGGTGGAGCTATAAAACAGAGGATATCAGAGTGAAAACCAAAGACCCTCTCTCTTAAATCTCTTATTGCCTGCTTGTGTGATATGGCTCTACTGCTTTGCAGCCCTCTGCCCAACCAAAATGTTAAATCAGCTCCCCTCCAGTTTTCAACTGAAATTGAAAAACAGTCTAGAAGAAGGCAATGACAAACTACTACTGTGCTGCTGGTAACTACAAGAAAGTCTCCCCCCTGCATCAAGAGCATAGGGCCACCAAGTATCTTTTTTGTGGCCCCACAGTTGGTGAGTATTGAGGATATTCCAGCAATGATAAAGATGTATTCAATGGCTGATGCTGGATGTAAGTATGGTATAGCTGGGAGAGAGGGTGAACAAACAGCCCAGAAGAGAAAAGGTTAAGCAAACCCTTTCTCTTCTTTCTTCTCCTGCAATTCTTCTGCTTCGAGAAGCTGTTTTTCATTTTTTAAAAAGAAAGCTAAATGTCATTTCTAATCTGGACCTGAATTGCTGGTTTTCTAATTTCCTGGTTATCTGCACTGTCTGCCACCCATGTAATACTGTGTAACTGCAATTCAAACCTGTATAAATAACTCTTCAGTTGATCCAAACTTAAGACATAATAAGGACAAACCAGATTGTTCAGGCAACAAATAAACAAACAGATAAAATGCAAAGTTCTAGCTGACTTATTCAAGTCTGTCCAAAGAACCTCAGAAGAATGAAATCTCATGTTTCTAATTGCAGGAGCCAATTTCAACATCATTTTTCTTAATGATGTTTTTGCATTTGCCTAAAAAAAAAGTAAACAAAAAAATAATAATAACCTTTATTAATCATCACTGCAAAGAAAGACTAAAGGCTGGGTATATGATGCAACTCATGCACAATCTCTTTGTATTGTATACATTTTTCACACTGAACTTTTCCATTTGTATGAAGATCGGACGACTGTACATTTTGGGATGTTTTATAATCAGTTCCATAAACTTTCCAAAAGATATGCAAGAAAGTGTAACATCAGAAGAGACCAGCTGGAAATATCCCAAACAGCTGGAAATCATCCAGTCAATGATACTGATGATAAGTTGTTATATATGAAAACACTTGCCATATATTTAAAAACTATCATTTTCAGAAAATAACACTTTCAGCAATATCTTCTGCTTTAATGGTTGGAAATATCTGACACTTATGAAAAAATTTCTTAATAATGTTATGTCCAGTACAACCCTGTGCAACATAAAAGAAAAGAACATCTCCTCATAGTGAGGAGAGGCTTTGTAAGGAACATATGGACAGGCCTGGGCAGCAGAGGGTGGATATAAACTTTTAAACAATCCTGAGATTAGTCTTGGTTCAGAAGTTTTCAGGGATAATGCCAGAGATTTGGCATTATCGGCTCAACTGGTATACTGTGAAATGTCCTTTTGCTGGAGTACTTCCAAATTGGTTTTGTTTGGGTCTCTTGAAGCCTCTGGGTGGCCGTGACCCATTGAGAGGCATATGTTTAGTATCATGGCTTCCCCTGCAAAGTTCTAATACTTGAACCTGCCTCCAATCATTCTTAGGTTGAATTAATGACACAGCCTATAGGCAAATTTGCTTTTCTCACAAGAAAACTGCAGCAGCTGTTTTACATAACTTCTTTTGTCAGGATGGTAACAGAAAGAAAATTGGGGGAGTAGACAAAAGAGGATGAGAGAATTGGAATGAGAAAGCCCATCCAAACGCAATCAAAGCCTAGTCACTTACCATGGGTTGATGAGATTTTTTTCCTTGAATGAAAACTGCAGCCTCATGAACCACAAAGTTAAGGAAATTTGATCTCCTTCACAGCACCATGGGTGGCACACTCTAAAGCAAACCAGATTAAGGCCACCCATTGAACACAGTGTTGGAGGGAATGGGGAGGGGGAGGGGAAAAGCAATGCAAGGAAACTTCTCTTTCACTGTCAGCTTCTTCCTGATCATCATAATGTACAAGACAAAAATGACCTTAATTTAGATATTCAGAAAGATATATTAAGTAGACCAAAACCGGGCTTTCCCATACAGAGATAATAAATGAGAAGGACATTCCCAACATCAGTGGAAGCCCTGTACTTTTTATAGATCTATATAGGAACTATCTGTACAAAAGCCATACTCATGTGCACAAATTCTATAGAACAACCAGAAACTAGTCTTTGGAAACAGAGTTCCAAAATAGTTAGGCCTGTTTCACAAATTACATTATAAGAACTATGTATTTATTTTTCAAATGAGCAAAGGTGTCTGACTCTGTAATGACTCTTAGTATATCTGGGAAGGATTTAAATCTGTAAATGCAAAGTACGGAGGGGCAAACGCGTGTCTCGAGAGGGGCCCAGCTGCCAATTCCTACATCAGGTTTTCCCATAGGAACCGTAGGGTTTCACACAACTTGACGGGGTTCTGTGAGAGACTAAGGAGAAAAACAGAACAAGTTCACCAAGCACAGCAATGTTCTATCACTAGAGCTTTGCCTCTTGATCAGGGGATCCAGGACTTAAACAAGCAGGTTCCAGGGCTGGAAAAAGTTTGAGAAGCTCTGTCCTGGACCATCCTGCCTTGCTATTTTTTCCTGCTCCCTGCCTTCTTCTATACCAAGGTTTCTCAACCCTGGCAACTTTAAGATATGTGGACTTCAACTCCCAGAATTCTGTAGCCAGCATGCTGGCTGGGGAATTCTAGGAGTTGAAGTTCACATCTTAAAGTTGCTAAGGATGAGATACACTATTCTATACAATCAAACCAGAAGAGGAACAACTTCCTCATCTCATGCCCACTCCATCTAAAAGGTGGTGTGGAATAGCTCTAGAAGGTAATGCAAAGTAATGGCAATAGTGAAAGAAAGGGTGGCAAACATTGAAGTGAACCTCTGGGAACTGCTTGTTTCAGATGTGTGTGTACGTGTGTCACAAAATCTGGAACTAATAGAAATTATTAGCTCTCTAACAACAAACAGTGCATTGGTGCTCCAATATTGCAAAGGCATGGCTGCTTAAGATATGAGACAGTATATACTTTCCTCATGTTCAATTGTGAACACAGTCTTTGTGTGGACTTTTTGTAACCTGCATGTCTTTTAACAGCATAGTAGAAAAGCATCCCTCCAGTAGTTCCAACAACATATATAAACAAGAAAAACCTTTATGTGCACTTTCCCAACACGATGTAACCACTGGCAATGCATATCTCTGCATATACAACTTTCTAAATGCCAGAAATATATTTTTACAGGACGATGTCCAACCAAATTTATACCATAGGCCTATTTTTGATTAAGACTGCATGTGCTTTCCATAACAAATACATTCTTGTTCTCACATAGGAGGGAAAACACACATTTTCAGTTTTTAATGTTTTCTTTTAGTAGTAAAAAAAGAAAAGAAAAAAAGAATGCTGTATCTGCCAGGGGGGAAAATGCTTTTTAAATGCTATTGACACCGCAAATGAAAGTAAATTATAGAAATCATTAAATCTGGAGAGCTTCTAACCACTTAGAAAGGAAGGCAGCAAGCTAACTAATGGTATATCTAAACCACAGTACTGAACTGCACCTTGGATAAATCAAGAACTTGCTAGATATTCCAGACAAACAGGCATTTAAAATTAATTTTAGTCCCTAGAGTTGACTCTTGTGTGCCTTCTCATTTCCGAGGCTGACCCTGGTCACAGGACCTGGATATTTAATCTCAGGCTCGTAATTTACACACAGAGGAAACATGTACTGGCAACAGATTTTTGGACCGCTGCCTTCTGAATACATCAGCTGAGGTATATGCTTTCCAGCACATCAGCACTTTTAGGTAACTTCTTCATAAACTGTATACTCTTAGAAATTAACACACAGCTAACAGCAAAATTAGAATATAAGGCTCCATGTCAAGAGCTGGATATTGCTGAGTGGTTTTTGGATACCTGTGCTTAAAAGTAATTTAATTTTGTTCCATAAAACTGCTGAAAGATCATCACATCTCATAGGAATTCTCACATGAGATGTCATATTTTCAGGCAAGAAGGTGTAAGATTTTTGGCTGAGACTGCTGAAATGTCATTATATCTGATGAACTTCAAAGATTTCAGCCTTAAAAAAATAGGTGTACCTGCATGGTGGCATTGTGGAATAGTCCTGGGTATCTGAAAAAGTCATAGGGCCCTGCTCTATGCACCCAATCAAATAAATTCATTTATTAAAAATAAATGAAGCCTACTGCTTAGAGTCAAATCTTTCTAAAGTGGTTAACTATCATATAAATATACCATATAAAATTAATATGAGGGTTAAGATGGTACGTTTTCCATAAAACTACTATTAATGCTAATCACATATCAGCAATAGTGAGAAAACACTACTGGCAATTGTTCTGCTTTTTTAAAAATCATGTCTGCTCCTCATAAAGGAGCTCAGATACCCTGTACTGAGTCACTACTGTCGCATCAGGCTGAGCAATTTCTCATACCTTAATGGTTCCTGAATTACTCAGAAATATATTCTAGGCAGCCCATCTATTCAAGAGCACTCAATAGAGTACTAGTAATTAATTTTTTTGGCAAATAAGCCAGGTAAGTCAAGACTAAATGATGAGATGTTTCAACTGAATGTGTGTGTAATGAAATATATACTGTACTAAACATTCTTATGTGTTAAACGTTTCCATGTGTCACAATATGACTGTCCCTACCAGCACGTATATGATTATCACCACCAATTAAAAACCAGTCTAAAAGACTCTCCTTCATTCTCAACTTATAAACAGTGGAATGTAAATAATAACTATTTTATGTTAAACTTTCAGAAGATCTTGAGAAATTTTCAGAATGAAGGACCAACACCGGTATAGGACATTGCTCTTTGCCTATCTAGAACAGGAAAATGTATTTACCTGAAACCCCTTATAATAAAATATAACTCATGTCCATAATATCTTTTTTCAAATATTGCTCATGATAATCCCCTCAATATGTCTCTAGTGAAAGTTCCTTGATCAGTTAGAGTTTGTTTTTCCTAAGTGCCTGTGTATGTTGCTAAAAAATCACAGCTAATGGTTCAAATGATATTTTAAGTGAAACAGATGAATTTCTTGACAAGATTGACAGAGCATGTAGTAATGAAATTACAGAACAAGGTGCAATAGATGGTTTTGAAATTACTTTGAAGGGGGACTTAAATGTAAAAAGTAATGAGAAAGATATGGAGAAAGATATGGGCACACAAATGGAACCAATGGATGATTTATTCCCAAATAGATATATAATATCTATTTTATATCTATATACAAGGAGTTATACAAATACTGAACCAGGAAACTGACTTGGACTTTTTTTTTACTGGATATACAAAAGAGCTCTGTTACAGTTTTAAAGGATTTTGTTAAAAGTGACAAACAAAAGGATAAACTTTACTGCTAAATCTGCTAAAGTTCTGAAAGACTTTTTGGCTTGAAACACAGATGAACAGAAAACTAGTTCTGGGATTCTTTTTTTAAGGGGTTAAAAGATGTTTTTAAAAACTCAGGGAAGGAATACAAGGTTGGCTTATTTGACTAGGACTAAAGGAGAAAAATAGTTACATCTGGTTGCCCTTATTGGACTTTTGTTGATAAAGAACGACTGACAAAAGAATGACTGATTTGGATTTTTTTTTTTTATTCAATAGATGAGATATGGGGTGAAAGAGATTATGTTGTATTTAGAGATAGTAATAAGCTATTAAGATTGTCTTTACTTGCTGGGATGAAGGGGGAAGTTACTTCTTTCTTCTATTTTTTTCTTTTCTTTTGTATTTTTCTGTTTTATTTTTTGTAGCCTATACTGGCTTTTATTCTTTTCATTTAGAATTCTTAATAAAATTATTTGAAAAAAAAAAGAAAAAGAAAAAGAGGCTGAGATGGAGATTTTTGCCAAGATGGTGAATTTGGGGGTCTGGTGGAGCTTAAAACTTGTTCCGACTATAATTTGGTTCCAAGCAACCTTCCTCCCCATCACCTATTACTTGCATCTGAAAAGAAATTTAAACTGTCCCTTGCGATACATTTGATCCATGTAATAGGTGATTTGGCCCAGATGTAACCTGCCCTGGACACTGCTTTGGGATTAAAAAGTCATGGGAGAAATAAATTGTGATCTTAGTGTGAAGGTGGGTATGATATAAGTTTGCAATATGTGTCAGGAGAATGCTTGCACAAAAGATACCTGAACAAAATGTGGGGAATGATTGTATCCCACGGAAATACTGTCCATTTATCAAAAATTGTACTACTCTAATTATATTTTTTTAAAAACAAGCTAGGAAGAGTTGCAGCAGCATGTAGGTTAAGGTAAGCTTACCACACATTTTTCTACTTAAGGATTTCAATTCCTTTTGAAACACTAAACACATATGACATCCATACTACAGAGTTAAACTGGCTTACCAGCCAGGTCCCTTCTCAGTTACCTCTAAGTTCTGGGGTGGGGGAAACTAAGAGTCCCTAAGTAATTCCTAACAATATCACCGAATAACGATCCCTGGGATTTTTTAAAAGGACACCATGATAGTGAACTTAACTTAAATGAATTTAGGGTTGTAATGGATAAATAACTTGACATAACTATTGACCTGTTGCCCATATGTAACACACCACCCATAGCCACCTAGAATTCTCTGGAGGCCAGGAAGGATCAAAATATTTTAAATATATAATCAATTTGGTGAGATCAGTGCTGCTTCCAAATGGTGGAATATAATAAAAGGCTGCCAAACTGTCCCTTTCTTAGTGGATTCTCTGCAATAAGAAAAAAAAATCTGCAGAAAACACTGGACAGTTATAAATGGAAGATAGATTGTCTGAAACCCCAGTACATTTTTCTGAATCAGAGAGGGCAAATGCATAATGGAAACCTAATCATGAAACACTATAAAAGCATTCTTAAATATATGTTAAACATAATGTAGACGTTGGACTAAGAAATCTGCTGTTAAGAGGGAACTGAGAGAAGTAAACTCATTCCATTCTTGCCAACCTAACCTGACATAGGCTGAATGATCTTTAAGGTTTTCTGAGTGTCATGTGGATTCTGACCCTTAATCTAGAGTTAGAAAAGTCAGAGTTAGTTAGAAAAGTTGTTCTAGAGCCATTGAATTCTTCCAACGTTGCTAACAGTTTTAACACTCAGAGTTGCTGTAAAATGGTCACTTTTAGAATGCAACCATCTCATTTCCCCAAAGAATAATATGCACCAATTCTATAGAGATCCCAGCACTGTAGAGCAGAAACTCTCTATATAACCTGCATCTAAATAAAATGGTGTATTTCTAGAATGGTAGAACCGGATAAATTGTTTCAGACTGCAAAAGGCATTTCTTAGATGTTTTCTTACATATTTCAAAAACACCTTCTTGGTTTTTTAAAAATATCTTTATAAATTGCAAATGAGGGGTGGGAGAGCTGAACTAGAAATTTTTTCTATTACATGCCAGTATTAAACCTAGTAGATTTTGGTTCTGTACATATGGGAATATTAAAATAATATTTTCTTCTCCAATCTGAAGTAAAACAATCTACTCTTCTGCCTCACTTCTACAGTAGAGTAGAACTAAATCTGGTTCTTTACAGTTTCCCCAATGGATGATTACGTTTAGCAACGGGGGCTTGGGGATTCTGTAAACTGTAGTACATTGTATCTGGAGGACATCAAACTAGGAATGGACATCCTAGATTTTAAATAACTAAGAGCTAACTCAGACTAATTATCTGTGCCTATAGAACCATTTCTAACACATCCATTAGCATGATAACCCAAATAATGCATTTTGAAAAAAAAAAAGATGCTATTATACATTATAAAAAGAATGTATGAAAATAAAGGAAATGCATTGTTTATTTTGTGTGTGTGTGTGTAGTAATGATAAAATTAATATTATTTTATTACCTCTCGTTGTACTGCACAGCTTCTCCATTCTTTGCCCAAGTAATGGTTGGCCTTGGGTTTCCAACAGACTCACAGTGAAGAAGTACACTTAATGTCCCACTGGCTAAAACTACAGTATGTCCTAGATGGGTAACAACCTCGGATGCTGAGAGTTGCTGGGCTGCAGAGATCTTCTTCAGGATGGCAGGTTTTTTGTGTGGCCCACGTGAACCATTTATGAGTTCTAGAGATGTGGACAAGTGGGCTTCTGAGGAAGACGTTCTCAATAATCTGGTGAACTCAGAAAAATGCTTAGTGAATGGAAATTCCACTGAAGCAGAACTGACTCTCCTTCCCTGGGTTTTGAAAAAAGATTCCTGATGTTCCAAATGGCTCTTGAAAATTTCATGGGCCAGCTGTGAGACAAGTTGCTTGCTATAGATATCCTTAAGTTCCTCGGGCTGTTGAGACAAATTTTTTAGGATGTCATCTAAACGATCCTGATTGGTGACCATAGTGAAAGGCAAGTTGTAGTCCTGACCCTGGTCTTCCTCTGAAGAAATATTTCTCTCTGTGGAGTCCTGAGCTTCCCATGGCTCTATGCTATCACGAGGCCAGCCTCTGTACTCCAGAAGCCTTGAAACAATGTCATCGTACCGGCTGCTAGGATCAGAGACAAGTCCTCGTTTTTCAGTTTTGCTTCCGTTGAAGAGAATTTTACTCTGATGCTTCTCCTGGCCATGCAAAGCTTCATTCAAACTGACCTTCCTTGGGGATTCTTCTTCTTTTATCCCAGCTGATAAAGTGGCAGTACGTTTGTTGTGGCCTCCTATTAGTTTAATCACAAAATGTTCCTGAGCTGGTCCTGCTGTGCAAGTATATGTACCTGTGTCTGAGGGCTTTAACCGATGGATCTTCATGTATCCATATGGCGCAATGGTAACATGAACAGAGCTAATCAGTCGTTTGCCATCTTTCTCCCATGTGATCATTGGTTTACGGAATCGTCTCACAGGACATCGAAGAATGACAGAGGTCTTGGGCAGCAGGTAGGCGTACCCACCAACAATAAAATGCAGCTTCTTTTGCTTTCTTGTCTGGATAAAAACTTTCTTTTGAGCCAGTATCAAAGGGGGCTGCTTGTGGGCAGGTCTCTGGTATCCTGAAATGTTAGTAATATTATTAGAATATGGTATCACATCACGTTTGCACATTCAGCCTAAAAAACTAAAATAGACTAAGGATCCTCCTTCCCTTCCATTAATGCTTCTATGCTGAGCCCATGTATGTGTTTCCTGTGTGAACTCCATATCACTGATGCTTGATGCCTGTGAGGGGTGTAGCATGATACCCCATCATATGGTCTGCAACACAGGACATTTAATGGGGAAGTTATTATAAGAAAATTTGAGCCTGGGATGTCATTTGCATGGGCATCTGCAGATGGGCCATAAAACATAGCTTCCAACTCACTAAACCAAACAAGCAGCTTGTTTTTGGAACTAAATGACATTTTACTTCTTATAATTTATAGCAAGTAGAGATTTATTCAACAGATGCTGAGACCTCACTCTTCAGAAATAACCAGAGCTAAATAAATTTGATCCCTTTCCGGTTCAGTTGCAGAATCAGGAGTCCGGCTTATTTAAATAAATAAATAAAAAGCCATTCCTGTTGTTAAAAGTCTTTAAATGGAAGAGTCAATATAATGAACACAAGGAGTGTACGACATAAATGTGGAACTCCCCTTGTTAAGTGTTTTTCATTCCAACCTTGAGAGGCCTCAGAGCTAGAAACAGCAAGAAGGAACAAATGAAGTACCTCAAGGGAGTAATATGAAGCAGAACAAATCTACTTAGAGCGAGCTGAGGACCCCGTGGTGGATAATATCAGACTTCATTGGTTACATGGGCACCCTGAGTTCAGATCTCTCTACCAGACACGTGAGGTCACATAAAGGATTTGAAAACAACTATTTCTCTCCACAGAAAAAGTTTAACAGTAAACATTTTTATAATGCAACTAACATAATTTGTGGATTAAAAAAAAATCATATGAGGTTTTAAGATGGTTTTTCACTGAGTTGCTATTTTTTTTCATAATGGTCTCCACAGTAGACTATTTATTACATATATGATCTGTGCAATTCTGTTTGTAAACAACAACAACAATCCAATCCCAAAAAAAACTTAATGGACATGAATAAATTCTCAGAACAGCACAATGTTAAGTCTTATAGAGAAAACAGAGATAATTAGATCCCCCTATAAAGAGAGCAGTGCTGGCCAGAAACCAACCACCACCTTTTTTTCTTTTACTTTTAAAAGATACTTAATACATATACTGAATAGCAAAGTATTAATCTAATCTAATCACCCTAAGCCTCTATTTATTTAAAATTCATATCTTCAGGATACAGACATTCAAGATCGGATTCGCATTTTTCTTCTTTCTGGGAATCATTTTTTAGCCATGTCTGTGGACCATATTTGGGGGCTGTCTCTTATTAATTATTATGACTCTTCTCGTTATTGTTACCTAACAATAAATAAAACTGTAAGTATATTAACTGATATAAAGATCTTCCCAATCTTGTATGATTCCTTGGTTATAGAAATCATGGCAAGGACTGTGGTATCAACTGGATCAATGTTTTCTTTGCTTGAGAAAACCCATTAATAAGATAAGCAGAGTACAAATCATTCACAATGTTACTTATGTTCTACCAGCCCAGGGGTGTACAACATGCAGCCCTCAAAGTAGTGTGGCTTCCACACTTTCCCACTCCCAATTTATAATCAATCTTTCATTTAAAATGAGAGGAAGAGATAATGTATGGAAAGCAATCATATTAATTATTAAGAATGTGCAACACTTCAGATCTCAAGCCAAAAGGTGCTTTGGGCATGGATGCACATACATCTCCTGTAGGTACCTCCTTAATGAGGCTATATCGTTTTCTGGGCTTGACCTGTAGCCTCTTGATCTCAAGGAAATACATGTTTGATTTAAAGAAGCACCAGTAATGCACCCATGCCTAGTCCAAAGCATCTTGCACTGCATATCCATATTAAGCATAATATTCAAATTAAATCAAATATATTTTCTGTTCTGTTCTGCTTTCATCCACTTCCTTGACCTGACCCTGCCCATGCTTTGGACTATGGCCACTGGATTGAAAGAGACTGGGCATCCCTGATTTAAACTAATTTACAAAGATGAAATTGTCCCAAATCTTCCCAATTCCCTCCAGGTCTTCTTCTATACTCACTTGCACAAGTCATGAGCACACACGGTCTGACCAAGGATGAGAACGGCAAAGGTGGGCAAAGTGATGAGTTCACAATGGCAGAAAGCCCAGTATTTAACATTTTTCTGCAAATGGCATTTCGTGTTTGGGTTCCTTCTCCACAGCTAACAGAACACTGGGAACAGAACAACAGCTGATTAGGAAAGATGAAAAGTCAGTCAGTCACTATCTGTCAACCCTGGAGTTTCCGATGGTTATTCCCTGCTGCACAAAGCAAAGGCCTATCCTGTTGAACCTAACTGGGTTCCAGAGGGAACTTGGTGATGATCCTGAGGCTCTGATGCAGTTTGACTGAAGCCTCAGTCACTGCTAGGAATGAGAAGGTAACAACAGCCTATTTCTCTGCTTGTAGATTCTGATGAGCCCCCTGGTTTTCAGAGAACCTCTAGATAATAGAGTACCAGGAGACACTCAGAGTGGTGCTGGAGGAAGATGAAGAGCAACTCTGAGTGAACACAAGTAAGACCCTTCCCTAAGGCCCTCCTTGTGGCAATAAGCACAGAAAAATGTAATTATTTCTCCATTCATATTGCATCTGCCAAATGCAGCACTTGTGGGGTATGCTGTGAGAACTACTCTCAATACTTGGTGGATAAAGTTGCTCAGAACTGCTCTAAGTTGGATTCCAGCTGTGCAGGTCTTATGGAATTGACTAAGACACAGTCTTGCTTGGTTACCTAGGATGAGTTTGAGCCTGTTAGTCTTGAAGAAGTGGACAGCTCCTGAGGGCTGTCAGTGAGACCACCTGTGTTTTAGAACCATGCTCCTCCTGGTTGGTTAAGGCCTCCGGGAGGGATCATGTGATTGGATCCATGCAGTGGTAAATGCATCTGTGAGGGAGATGGTAGTTCTACCCCCTCCTCAAGAGGCCATTGCTGGATCCAACAGAGCTGGACAATTTTCATCCTGTTGAGAAGGTAGCCATCCTGCAGCTCCAAAGGGCCCTGGGGGGAATGGAATGTCTGGAGGCTCTTTAGTCTGGGTTCAGACTGGGACAAGATACTGAGATAGCACTGGCTGTACTTATCAAGGACCTAAGGCAGGTTCAGGTTGTCCTGTCTCAGCAGCTTTCAGTTCCATTGACAGTGCTATTCTTATAGACTGGCCCAGATGGTTGGGAGTAGGAGGCATGGTGTTACAGTGGTTCTCCTCCTTTCCTCTGGTGTTGGTTCCAGTCAGTGTTGTTGGTTGTGGGAGAGAGGTCTATCCCTAGGCCCCTGCTTTGCAGGGTGTCTCTGTCAGCCCTTTGAGGGAGGCCAGGCCAGGAAATCTGGAACTACATTTTATTGAGAAAGGTTGGTTATTTGCTTATTTATATATTTACAGGACTTACATTACTATCTCATATAATGACTATGGATGGCTCACAACAATCCATAAAAACGTGGTTAAAAACAAAAGTACCCTTTTCCCCAGGTGCCAGACCAAACATTTTCACAGCTCAAATCCCTAATGTTTGGGGGGAAAGCCAGATCTTCATGGCCCTCCAGAAGGCTAAAAAGGTAGGGATCTCTTAGATCTGAGGTGGGAGGCTGTTCCAAAGGACTGGGGCAACCACTGAGAAGGGATGCCTCCAAGGTCCTATCAGGTGGCAAGGGAGTGTGCCTGGAGTGTGCCTACCCTATCTAACCTAGTAGGACAGGCAGATACCCTCAGGGAGAGGCAATCCTGCAAGTAACTTAGTCCTGTGCCATGTAGGGCTTTAAAGATGATAACCAGCACCTTGAATTGCACCTGGAAAGCAAATGGAAGCCAGTGCAGGTCATGCAGCAGTGGTGTTACTCAGGTGAATCATGGGGCACCCAAAACTGTGCATAGCACTGCATTCTGGAACAGCTTTAGCTTCTAATAACAGAATCTTGAAAGTCTGACTGAGTTCTCCCCTCCCTCCCTCTCATATCATAGTGAATTAGGGAGGAGTCAATCTGAGCTTCTTTCTCATGCTTTTGCCTAGACTTAAAGTATGCTTTTGTTTATATAACCATTGCTGTCTCTGTCTAGCTTCCTCAAGATAATCTCCATGGCTCTCTACAACCTCATAGCTCTACCCTCTCCCCACTCTTGATTAAATGTACCTGAAGCTGCTAGATGAAGCTATTTATCAGTTTGTTATGATATATCACCAGTATGCTGACAGTACTCAATTGTACATCTCCACCCTGGGCCATCTTGAGGCTACCAAGCTTCTATCCCAGTGTCTGGAGGATGTGGGGGCTTAGACGGGGAATAAAAGGCTTTAGCTCAGCCTTAGCAAGACTGAGTACCTATGGGTTTGGTGCCCATCTGATCCTGAAACTGGATATTTTCCATGTTGATATTGGAGAGGACTGCACTCCTCTATTCAGAAACAATGCAAATTTAGGGAGTTCTCCTGGACTCAGAGGTCCTGCTCAAAGAGGTGGCAGTGGTAGCTAGGAGGACCTTTGCAGAACTCTACCTTGTGCGTCAATTGTACCAGCTGATGGATCAAAAAACCCTTATAGCTGTTAGTCACCTCCCAGGTGAACTATTGTAATGCATTCTACATAGGGCTGCCCTTAAGTAACGCAGCAGTGCAAGTAGTTATGGGTGAACAATGATATGTCCATATAACACAACCACTTTGTAAATTGCACTGACTCCCAGAAGACTTCCAGGTACAATTCAAAGTGCTGGCTATGACCTATAAAGCCCAACATGGTACAGGACTGGATTATTTGACAGACCACCTGTCTCTGATTATTTCTGCGTATCGCGCATGCTATAACAGGATGGGCACGCTCCAAGTCCCATCCCTGAGGTAATGTCATCTGATGGGACTTAGGAGGTATGTCTTCTCAGTTGCAGCCCCTGCCCTTTGGAAAGACTTCTCCCCACCCCCAAAAATCAGTTGGCCCCAACTCTGCTAGTCTTTAGGAAAGCTTAAAAATTTGTTTTTTCCTTAGGCATTAGGCCAGGATGATAGATGAGCCTGTCTTTGGGAGGTGGACTGTGTGTTGATGGGCCCTGATTGTATGCTTTGTTTTTGTTGATTTTATTGGTTTTAATTGTAATTTTGGGTTTTCATTTGGTTTTATTGAGTTGTGATCACACAAGTTGGGTGGCCATATACATCTAAATAATTAAAATAAATATTTAGAGGAGGAGGATTATAAACATAGGAATTGGAATGTAAAGAAATAAAATATTCCCAGGTGTGGAAGAAAACAGTTTGTTATGGCATAGATTCCAATGTACACCTTGAATGATTAAAAGCAAAATAAAGAACACTGCCTGAGGAATAGACAAATGCCTACTTTATCTCAGAAAGGGTACATGTTCTAGCAGCAGATTTACTTAGATAATCTATTTATCTGGCTGGGCTGTCAGGCTAGATCATTACCCATTAGTTAAGCTTCTTGCATTGTGCACACCCATCCTGGCATGAATATAATGTTTTTCAACAACCAAATTAATTGCTTGCTTCTTGGATGAAGGAGGAGTGGAAAGGAATGAACAGGAGAAAGGAGAAAAAACCCTACTTAATTAAGGATCACAGGTCAACAGAATACTATTCACATAAGAAAGGCTTATGAATTAGACAGCAATAATATACTAGACTAATAGAGAATGTAAATATTCTTCTGAAGTATGTTTTTAATTTTGCTCTATAGTTCAGGCACAATAAAATGCAGTATTCAGTCAGATTAGCAGATACCTTCTCCAGCTTAATACTCTTACATTGATGATGGATTTCAAATGATGCTCCAGCAAATGTTCCTTGGAAGTTTATCAGGGGCTTCCATAATTGAAAGAAACAGAAATTTCACTAACTCACCAATTCACTGCAATTTAATATACCAGAAAGTGTTGAATCTACTCTAGACTGTGCTCTCCCTTAGCACAATACAACAGTGAGGTCTACTAAGTTTAGGTTAGCATGAAAACCCTACTGTTGTAACCTGTGCAACTTTTTTTTACTTTTGTTATTGTTAGTCCTCTCTAGTTTTACAATACAGAACTGATTTCAAAGTAACAAAATACCTCATGACTTAATCTTTGATTGTACATCCTATGGTTACAGTGGATTCAGAGAAGTTGTCTGAATTTGCTATTTAGCAACTGCAGTTCAAACTCTGGAAGCCTCTCAGAGAGATACCTAATAGCTGTTTCCCTATGTGGCATATTCTACAGATTCATCAAACTATAGCCTTACTAGTAATAATATTACCAGGGATAACTGGCTCAGCCCAAAAGAGCCTAAATCTAATAATGACAAAAAATTCATTCCCAATTATAAATACACATCTCTCTTTATATTTGGTATAAATCTAATGTACAAATTACAAGACTTTAGTGAGAAATGCTACCTTAACAAAAGTAATAGTATCAATAAATAAAATTCAAGTTGAGCAAAGAGAAAGAAACAAGAGCTCCTGGGTACAGAAAATCCAAATTCTATTTGTACTGCTACTTCATACCTGTGTCCAATCTGAGAGAAGCCATTCTGGAGGACAGTCCATATTTCTGCAGGCTTGCTGGGAAGCTGGCCGCGAAGTGGAACAAAAGGTTTCTGGAAGTTCTAGAAAACTTCCGTCAGCCATGCGCTGCTTGCAGAGCACTTCCCGTCTCTCAATGCCACCTCCGCATGTCCGTGAACACTGGAGAAGAATTGCAGCAGAGGCCTATGAGCCTGAGAACATTAGCAGCAATGGGTTGCCCCAAATTGGTTGGTATCTCACAGAAGTTAATGGGAGCCTTCAAAGTGCATGTGGGATAGCAGGCCTATGATAGAAACACTAATGAAAACAGTTAAGGGATTGAAATAAAGAGGGACTTTTAAATAATGTTCTGGGGCTGGCTTTTAATACGTATTCTGAAAAGAAAGATGAGTTTTATAAAGCCCCTTCCCTTCAGCAATAAAACAAAGGTTAAAAAGATGTAATAATACAAACACTTTGGGGCCACTTTCTGTTAAAGAGATGCTATACCCACTTTCTTTTGGAAAGAAGGCAAAGGAAAGGAGGTAAGAGAATGGCAGAAAACAAGCTTGACTTTCTAATTAAAAAGCTGTTTCCAATTAAAACAAAAGACTTGAATTTATACAGATATTTTGTTGAACACCCAAAACATTAGACCTGTGGATAGTTACCAGGAGCCAATGGTATCTGTAGTGTGTGTGTGTGTGTGTGTGTGTGTGTGTGTGTGTGTGACAAAAGTAGCATTGCAGAGTCCATCCTTTTTCTATGTTTGTCATGACAGCATGCATCCCCCAAAGGGGTGGAGCTTGTACGGTAGTGCAATGCTGCTTTCCTCATTCTGCTGAAAGCAGCAAGATCTTGTGGACTCCACTGTCAAAAACTCTCCTGCCAGAACATTAAAATTTTAGAACTCTTACATCATCTTTCTTTGTAAGAATTCAAAGGCCTTAAAGAACAATACCACTAACATTTCTAGGTAAAATAATCAGTAGATAAAAGTAGATGTAAGAAAGGAATTTGCTGGATGAGGCTTTTCCTAAATCAGCAAAGAAAACCAAATAGGGTTCACCTGAGGGCAGTGGGAAACAAATCAAAGCATAAATGTGATAAAAATGGAATTTATGATTCTAAGATTCTCCCTCTTCCAGCCATTACTTGCAAGTGCAGGTAGGTTTTTTTTCCTTGGGAACTGGAATTTACCTGTTGCCATTCTTGAAGGTACCAAGTTGGAGGACAGTCAAAACGGTTGCAGGCTTGTACCACGGTGGGCTTGGGTTTGTGACATAGTTTATCCTCCAAAGTCACTGTCTCATTAGTCTCTCTTGAGAGGAGGTGAGAGCAGAAGACTTCACGGATTTGCAATCCTACACCGCAGGTGAGACTGCAAGAACTCCACTTTCCCACCTCCCACCTGAAGGGAAAGCCAAGAAAAAGGATCTGAAGTGAAACAAAACATGTTCCATAATTATACAAAAATATCTGGTTTTGCACTGTGTCAAAAGAAAAAAAAAACCCAAACCAAAAACACTAGGCTGGATCCAGAATAGTGATACTTTTGAACCCTGGTATTGGAAAAGACTCTTAAGAATACCATGCATAGACAAGAAAGCAAATGTGGATCATCAAATAAATCAACCCAGAGTTCTCACTTAAGGCACAAATGACCAGGCTCAAACTACCATAGTTTGGATAAACTATGCAAAGACCTAGCTTCTGTATGGAGAAGTACAAAATGCTGGGAAAAATGGAAGGAATGGATGGACTTGATTTATAAATGAATGCACCACTACGAGACCTAAAAGGCCATGCTGAGGACAGATCATCCTGGAGAAAGTCTGTCCATGTGGTCAACACTGAACTGATGAGACAAAATAACAACGACGACTACAATAATATCCCAATACAAATGTGGTATATGTGCCCAATCCAGATTGGCTCAGGCATTGATATCTAGAACTCTTTTTTAACCTATTGGCTACCAACTATATCATTAATGTTAGCAGAAAATCTTGGGAGTTATAATTCAAACACAAATTATTATAGAAGATATAGCTATTTTATTAGAAAGAATACATAGCATTTTCCATCTGAATGCTTTACATCTTTATAGTACTTCTAGATCAAATTTAAGATTCATTTTGACTAAATTCAGTTTGCACAGTGTTAAAGGCCACAAATGATAATGTTTTATTCAAGTAGGGGAGGGAAATCAATATACAATATGTGTCCTATAAAAGAAAGTCATTTTTTCTTTTATAATGATTTTGTTCATAATTACAAGTGTCTTGTTCCAGACCTGCAAAGAAAAGTATGTTAATGGTGAGACCTTAAGTAAAGAGACAAGACATATGTTGGAAGATCCAAAAGTGGTGGTTTATGAAGCTTCTCTGACTCTCCCCAAGTCATTTCTTTGTGATTGCTCTCTTAAGGTTATGAAATGTAATGATTGTGGCTTAAGTTAAATGAGTTTGCTGCTCCATTTCTCTGAGGCCACAGTGGTAATGTTAAGCTAATTCAAAGCACATTATCTTGGTGAATGAACTTTAAACATTTCCATAAAGTTGGCAGTCAGAATGCATAGTGACATATCTGTGATTGGCTTGTCTTGGATAAAGATGGTTAGCATGCTTGGGAGTTTACAAAAAAGGCAACAACCCTTTCTTTCTTCTTTAGAAGCTTATTTTGAGACAATGCTTAATCTATCACCTCCCAGATTTTATTCTTCTAGTACCAAAGGATTTCTAGTTATTTCCAGCAATTCATTATTCCAATGCCCAGGGTTCAGGTAGGCAGTCTAACATGCCACTGGAAAGAACATATCCTACAGCTGGATTCTTTTCTTTTCTAGTTATTTAATGTATTTATCAAATTTCAAGGTGCCTAATCATATATACCCTTCCATATTCAAAATGTAGGGTTTTAAAAAAATTAAGCTGAATGAGAATGAGCAAAGTGAGAAAGAGAACAGATCTTTGGATATACAGTATGCTTATACCTGATTTAATGAGTTAATAAACATTGTTCCTTTATTGTCATTAGCTCTGTTGGCCAGTCCATGCTTACTTGTTGGCTAATAACTCAATACCTTGAAGTCTAAGAACGTATTGTTTCTTCCTCCAAAATAAAATACATTTGTAGTGGTCCCCCATGCTCCTGTACTCACCGTAGTTGAATGTCATTTGGGTTGTTGAAGAACTACATTCCCTATCTGTCACATAACTGTTGGAATGTAATGTCATCTTTTAAGCACAAGCAGCTATCTAAACAGATTTCAGCTGCTGCAACAGGAAGTTTTGCTCAAATTCCTGAGCCAAGACAGAGATGCACGACTTATTCTTGCCTGATGGCTGTATTTGGTTTTAAACGGGATGCAGTAGGCGACACTCCAAATAACAGGACAGAAGCTAACTATGATTTGTTTTTCATTTACATTTAATTCAAATTAAATATAGTTATGACTTCTCCATCAAGCATTTAATAATTTTCCTCTTTTGCCACATTGACAATGACAATTACATCAGGTGGAGAACTTTGTTTTTGCCAGCAGACCCAAGCTTTCCACCATGTTTATTCTATGACATTTTTAGAACAAATCAGTTCATTCTCACTGGCCTGTGTCAGAACATTCTGCATAGGCATTGCTATCAATAACCAGCGACAAAAGCTGGGATAATATATGCAATGAGAATCAAGCAACAATTACATCCTCAACAGGCCAGCGTCACTGACTCTGAGCCTCCTGCGTGAGCATGGACCTAATCACTGCATTCTGAGAGGGCAGAGAATAGAATTCAAAGAGATTGGATACATGAGACAAAGCCAGGAAAGCAGACAGACTGTTCCTATTCTTGCTGAGTCCACCTGGATTGATTGCCTTTTAAGTGATTTGGAACACACAAAGAGCCATTGTGGTGCAGGGGCTGCAGTAGGAATGGGGAGACCCAGGTCCCAGACTACCCTCAGCCATGGAAGCTCACTCGGAGACCTTGGGCCAGTCACTTCTCTCAGCCCAACTTACCTCACAGCATTGATGATGCAGGAAAAAATAGAAGGAGGCAGAACTACATATACTGCCTTGAGCTCCCACAGAAGGTGGGATATAAATCAAATGAATAAATCAAATTGTTTTAAACAACCTGGTTAAAAATACATTTCCTTCTGAGATTTCAGGTTAAAAATGGAGGATTTGTACATACCAAAAAATGAAGGTAAACTGTTTTGTGTAAAATGCTTCAGCATGAAGTCAATATGCACCACAGATTTTCATAATTATAACATGGGATGATGATATAAGTGATGTGTGGCAGGAGAGAAGTTATGAAGTATGAAGAATTGTAATTTCCATAAGAATCACTAGAAGAAAAATAACCTGTTCTGAAAAATCCAGGTGTCACATTCTGCAAAAAGCTGGTAAAATTGTCTATAATTAGTAATTTACCTGAAAAATTGCCTCTTTTTGTTTGCTTTGGGCAAATATCTACAGAGATGCCACATTTTTTAAAAGAGGTTTAGTCCTTGAAGCCCAATCCAGCAGAACACAGCCTTTATTATTTATTTATTTATTTATTAATCAAATTTTTAATGTAAGAATTATTTCATTAAATACATTTTTGCTTTTACATTTAACTGAATATGACCTTAGGATGTAATGTATGTTTGGGAGAAGGGGAAGAGGGGTTGCATCAGAAACTGGTATCTCACAAAATAAGGCCAAGAACAGAAGAAACTTCTGACTGATTTATCCAGCTCAGGACGGTTTTTATTGATTAGGATTTCTAGGATTTTAGACAGGGAACTCCCCCAATCCTTTCAATAGGGATCAAGAATTAAAACTGGGACCATGCTACAAATGGACCCTAATGCTAAATGATAGTTTTTTCCAGCCAGATGGGTATTTACAACTTATTAGTTTACTTTCTTGGTTGTTATTCCAAAAAGTTGGCTGAAGTACAATGTAGTGTCCGCACATCATAGGAGCACAGAAAACACGAGGTCCTGGCTAGCTGACTCGCCCTGCGTATAACTTCAGTGCCTTCCTGTTTATGCCTTTTTGGCTTTCCACAACTAATTCTGAGGGGGAAGCACATCGCTTCACAGAAAAGGAGAAAGAAACACATCTCATGAATTCTGGAAGACCTTTTTTTGCCCAAAACGTCATGAGTATTTTGGATACTGCAGCTGTGTTTGAAAGAGTCAATTTAAGTATACTGAAGGTCTTGGATGATTTATTTGATAGAACTCCTTCTCTGTCAAATTTTTAGGGAAGGTGGTTGAGAAGGTGGTGGCGTTGCAGCTTCAGAGGATCCTGAATGAAATGGATTATCTGGACCCTTTCCAGTCGGGTTTCAGGCCCGGATTTGGGACTGAAACAGCACTGGTCTCACTCTTGGATGATCTCTGGCGGGAGCGGGATGAGGGTAGTGCATCCATCCTTGCTCTTCTTGACCTCTCAGTGGCTTTCGATACCATTGACCATGGTATCCTTTTGGGTCGGCTTGGGGAGTTGGGGGTGGGTGGCACAGTTTGTGCTGGTTTACCTCCTTCCTCCAAGGCCGGTCCCAATTGGTGTTGATATGGAGCGAGAAGTCCAGCTCACGGCCCCTCCTTTGCGGGGTGCTACAGGGTTCAGTACTTTCCCTGCTCCTTTTTAACATTTACATGAAACCACTGGGTGAGATCATCCGCCACCATGGGATGAGGTATCATCAATATGCAGATGATACCCAGTTATACATCTCCATCCCAGGTGATCTGAGTGATCAGGTTCTTATTATAAATGTTTTGAGGATGAACTTTTACAACCTTTACAAAACACAATGAACTCTATCCTACAGGGAGGAAAGATGCCAGAGAGGTGGAAAGAGGCTAATATAGCATTAATACCCAAAAAAGGACAAGATTTGACTTTAACAAGGAACTATAGGCTGATATCATTATTGAATAATGACTAAAAGTTGTTCACAACAATTCTAGCTGATAGACTGAAAATAATTTTGCAAGAATTTATTCAGGAGGATCAATGTGGGTTCTTACCTAAAAGACAGTTAAAGGAAATGTTAGAAATGTGTTGGACATTTTGGAATATTTAGAGCACCATAGTGAAAAGCAAGCAGTATTGATCTTCTTAGATGCAGAGGAGTTCTTTGACAATTTGAACTGGGCTTTCTTGTTCAAGGTTTTGGAAAATATGAATTTTGGATAGAACTGTATAAAATGGGTAAGATCAGTTTACACTTCATAGAAAGCACAAATAATTGTTAATGGAGATCTAACAAAACCTTGTGAGATACAAAAAGGAACAGGACAGGGATGCCCACTGTCTCCTCTCTTGTTTATTTTGAGTCTTGAAATACTGAATAGAGATATAAGATAAGATGTGAGGATTGGGGGAGTAAAGATTAAAAAAGAAAC